TCTAATAAATCTTATTAAAAATCTTGACAAAGATATGCTCTAATAAACTTAACAACTATTTAAAAAATTTATTAATATAAAATACATGATGATCTTGCAGTTAATATAAATTTTTATTTGACAAAAAGCTCTCTCTGGATAATTACGCTTTTCTTTATATTCAATCCATATTTGTAATAATTTTTTTTTCATAAATCTAATAATTGATCTTGATTTTTGAAATTTTTCTTAAATAAAAAATTACATCATGAAGTTTATTATCTATTCCTATTTGTGACAATATTAAACCTAAAGCAAAGTCTAATGCAATTGTTTCTATAAAAAATGGCTTAAAAAAATAAAATTAAAATAATATTAGTAATGTAGTAAGAATTATATTCAAATATTAAATATTTCTTCAATACCTTTTTTCTATTGAACTTTTTCTTTACAAGTCAAGCTTATAAGTGAAGTTGTAATTTGAAAAAAATCTTAATAAAAATTTGATAAAAATTTTAAATTTTTTAGAAAAATAAAAAATATTTCTTATTATTTTTATAATTTTCTAATCTATAATATATTAATATTTTTTTGGATCCATTATAAGTCAATCATTTAAATTGATATGATTCAAAAATTTAACTAAAGTTGTACAAAACATATATTTTTCTATCTTGATAAATGATATTATATTTATAAGTTCTTATAATATATAACAAATATATTACATATATTCTTTTGTACTCTTAAAATAGATCAAAAAATAATTTAGATAAAAAACAAGAAAATTTTATAGAAATTCTCAAAAACACAATTAAATAGATGTCAAAAAGTAAATGAAGCATTTATAAGCCTAAAAGGTATGAATTTGTATTTAAAACATCTATTCCTTCTTTAAAAAATAATGTTTTATTCTTCTCTTTTTAAAATAATTAATATATTATATACTGTTTTCAATCCTATTTTGGTATAGATCTTGATTTGATTAAGTTAAATAAAAAAAATCAACTATCTATATACATGTATTAGTTTAGTTTTTATTTGTTAATGGTATTTTGTGACTTTTAACAAAGGCTTCATCTAAAAAAACAAGTTTAGATTCTTAAATCTAAAAATATAAAGACTTTATGATTCTTAATTTCTAATTTTTTTTTTAATTATAAAGCAAAGAAAAGAATTAAAAAGAAAATATGACCTTTTAAGATTTTGTACAAGAATTCAGCTACAATGTTCTCATTATATTAAGCAAACTTGTTTTTTGTTACATTTTCTTTTCAAAAATTGTGCTTTTTTATTCTATATTTGTATTATTTTAAAGAAAACTTTGATTATTATGTTTAGATTTTTTATAAAAAAATTATTTTCTTTGTTGGCATCAAAAATATTTATTTAATAAGAGGTTTAAAATATATTATATTAATTTATATATTCACTTCTTAAAAACATATGTATTGAGAAGGTATTGGTATAGAAACTAAATTACAAATATAATTTAATATAATTATATTATTCTCACATTAAAACTTAAAAAATTAATTATTATAGTTCACAACAAATTTCATTGTTTGTCCAATATTTGAGAATCAAGTAAATTATCATCAATTTTGTTATCTCATATTGCAATATATAAAAAATCATCACCTCTCTTCATATTAATTGCAAATTATTAAAATTTTAAAACTTATATAAATATTAAACAATTTTGTTAGTATTAAGTCTAAATTTTATTAATTTTGATTCAAACTGCATTATGCTTTTCATACATAGATCAAAATCCTATTAAAAAATTCTCCAAGTTGTTTAATATTGGATCATATTGTTTAAGAAAAGATAAGAAAAATCTTGATAATAATGCTTAAATAAACTTATTTTGTGATCTTAAGGTTGAATAGTTTTAAGATTGATGCTTAATCACAAATTATACTTGATTAATAAATTCTCAAAAATTTAATCTTATACCATCAAACTTCTCAAGTAAGACAATTTTAGATTCTTTGATAATAGTGGTGATGCTTATATGATGCTCTACTACAAAAAATAAATTACATGTATATATATTTAGATATTGAAGGAATTCCAATCATTACTACATCTTCATTTTCAACCAATCTCAATGATGCTTGTGGTGATGATGTAAGTTGATGCATTCCAAATATTAATTTATTGATTAATATCTATATTTTTATTATTAAATCTTTCTATTTATATAAAAAATTATATAATTATTTAATAAAATAAATAAAAATAAATAAACATCTTAAATTATTTATGGAAAGACATAGAAAAAGTTCAAGAATAAGAAAAAAATGTATAAAAAAATATATATAAATTTAGAAGTGGATAAATAATAATAATTAATATATTTATTAATTATTAAAAAAATATATAATCTATTTTTAATCAAAAAAAATTTAGCTCTAATATCATAAATTTATTCTTATTAATTTTTCAAAGATAATAAATTATAGAATATAAATAAATAAAAAAGATCTATGTCAAAGAGAGATGATAAAAATACATATATATATATATATATATATATATAAAGAAGAAACTAAAATAGCTATTTTCAAAGACGAGAAGATTAAAGATTCTTAGAATTAGAGTAGAAATAAGAAAGGCATTGGTAAGAATAAAGAAAGCATTAATCTTGCATCTATATACATTATCAAATATAGAGCTATAAGACGACGCTCTAGGAACTACATAACATGTGTCCAACTTGCAAGACATGTATCTAACTTATACATTAACTACTCTAATATGTGTGACTTTTAGCCAATATGTACTACAAGTAGCTAAAATATATAAAATATAAAAAACTTATTGGCCAAGTTTTTAATCTACCAATTACCTAGCAACACATATAATTTCAAATTTGTGTCTATACAGCTTTTAAAAAGCTTTCCAACAAGATATTAGCATATTTCTATCTATTCTATCTATTCTTAATTATTTAAATAAATATATTAGCAATTATATATATTTATGATATATTTTTTATTTTATTTTATTGATATATTTATTCTATTAAAATATATATATATTATAAAAATATAATTAATAAAATATAAGAGTTTAAAAAAATAAGAATTTGAATCTAAATATAATTATTAAATCTTAGAGTAGGTTTTTAATTTTTTAGTTAATTATAATAATATATAAAGATAAAATTTAATTGATAGCGAAATATTTTTTAATATATATATATATATAATATAATATAATTTTAAAAACAAAACCATAAATCAATATTTTTTTATATATATTTTTTTTAAATCAATTTTTGTCAATTTAAATTATAAATTTTTAAAGATATATAAGATAGTTATTCAAACATTAGGCATAAATTTATTTTTATTTTGGTATATCTAAAATAAATCCATCTTTATCTCACCTCTTCCTTAAAATACCAAGTTATGGCAAGTCATTTTGAACTAGCCTAAATAGATAAAGGTTGTAGGCTAATAATTGTACAAGCAAGATCTTCTATTTTTCTTCCTTATTCAATTATCTTTGCACTATTCTATACATGTTCATCTTTCTCGCCTCTTTTATTTGTTTCTTCTTTTTTTCTTGCCTTTTCTTCTTGACCAACCATAAACTTAGCTACTTCTATCTTATTATTCTATCTTCTAGTCTAACTAATATATGATGTAAATTAGTTCACTCATGGAGTACATCAAAGGTTATGGCATCCTTTCCATTGCTTTGATTCTTGTATTCTCTAATTATATCTTATTTACTTCTTTGGTAGTTCTTAATACTCTTACAACTCTATATTTTATTTCTTGATTGATTCTTAGTCTTATCATAATTCCATGTTCTTCCTCTTTGCTAATTCTTAGCCTTGCTACAATTCCATACTATACCCTCTTGATAACTTCAAGTCTTATTGTAAATAGAGACATATTTTATACCACAATAACTTTGCATATGACAAAAGTAAAATAGAACACTAAAAAAGTTGAGTGTACATAAGTACAAAGAATCTATTTTAGTTTTATTATTCTATTCTATATTACATTAGATTTGAAAAAAAAAAAAAAAAAAAAAACATTCTTTATAACAACTAATTGTCAAAGATCAATTTTTTTAAAATAAATATACTTTAAATATCTAATTTTATCATATTTATAAGGTCTCACTTTAAATGCTATTCTTAATTGAATTTGGATATTATTTATTAATAATAAATTATGATTATATTTTTTATTTATAAACAAGCTAGAGAAATTGTGTACAATCATAATAAGTGTGATATCAGGCCAAAATTACTATTTTTTTTTTCATTACATGCATCCTATTAGAATAAGAGCTAAGTATAAAATTTTAAAAAGGTTATTTTAATACTATATTATACATTGATATAGTCTAAACAGTGATGTTTTACTTGTATGAACAACTTTATGATTCCATTGTTCTTTATTTTTATTGTATACAAAGAGATAGGATATTTAATGAATATAAGAATTTCCAAGAAAGAAGACATGATTTGAAGACTTGTAATAGAATCAAGAATTTTTAAGGAAATAAAGTAAGTAAAATCAGAAGTGACTAAAATAAGAACTAAAGTATGGATGCCATGGCCTTTGAGTGCAGCTTGTAAATAAACACACATTTGTATTGCTAAGTCAAAAAATGAAGAAAAAAGACAAATGCAACTAAGATTATAATTGGACAAAAAATAACAAAAAATACAAGAAGAAAAAAATACAAAATCTTTTTTTCACTATTTAGATTTCACAAGTATTGAAATAAACTAAATAAAAAATAAATTAGAATTGATGAGATAGGGTTCGTTGTTGGTGAATTAGGGTTTAGCCTCGATCCCCCCCCCCCCTTCAGGATCTGAGTTGTTTGCTGAGAGGTATTGAGTCCAAGTCGCATACGAAGTGCTTTCGTCGCTGACGACTGCACAGCTATTCCAATCGCACGTGGAGGGTAGCTCCATTCTGAACTTAAAACTGGGGTCTAGCAAACTGTGGCAGCGGAGTTTTTTTGAAAGAAAAGCTCTATTTTATGAACGGATTGGGTTTGGTTTTTGCTTGCTTGCAGGGAAAGACTAAGCTGATTAGAACACCACCAGCATGTTGGCTAAGATTTGCTATTCTCCTTTAAAAAGATTTTCAGAAGGACAGAATTTGTGGGAGGATTGGCTCAAGATCGTTGTCTTCCTGTTTGCCGACGATACCCCTGGAATATGCCTGTCTACCTAATGCTAATCCTCTTTGTCTACAACACAGCTCAATGTGAGATGACACACCTTGCACATCAGTCCTTTCTAAACTTGCAAGCAAAATTCTCACTAATCTTGTCGCAGGCCAGTATTGGTTTTGAACAGTCCAAAAGTGGGCAGTTTTGGATTTGGTTCTCTGCTGAGGCTCCTGCGATTCAGCGCGACGTCGTGAATGAGGGCTACTTTGCCCTCTCCGCGTTGTGAAGCATAGCTCAAGAGCAGATCTCGACTATCGAGCATGATGAGAGGAGACGATGGAAAGGTTATTATTCTGGAATAAAATGGGGCCTTCCAATTGGGCTTCTCAGAATTCAAGTCGACTAATAGATCTGTCTGTAAGGAGAAATGTGGAAAGTCATCGAAGTCAGTTCCTCTTAATGGTGCAGTAAATTCATTCAGATGAAATTAATTCTTTAGAGATTTTTTCAGAGGATAGCGATGGTGCAGTGCTCTTCACATCAGCCTGAATCTAATTCCCCATGTTAAATCCTTCGCTGCCTTCGATTCTTTCGTCGCACTTCCATCAACGCCCTCCATCGCCCGCTTCAATTCCTCTACATATCCTTCGCAACTGCATATTCCTTCTGTGGAATTCGAGCGGTTTCTGGTGTGGTGCGCAGTTCGTCCTTCGGTGCAACGAGGTGACTTCTTGAAAGAACTGATGTCTAATTAGCACTTACGATGTTTTTCAACCACGTGAGATTCTGTTTACTTTACATCTGAATTGCTAGTGTTGTTGGTGCAACGTCTTCAGATATGGTTTTCTTCTTTAAACATGAACATCTCGCTCTAGTGCTCCTGAGCTTACGTAAGATCCATTTACTCTGAAGTTCGACAATCCTTGAATCTTTGTATCCCATGAGAAAGGACGAACTATGTCGAGTAGCTTTGCTTGCCAATTCTTCTGTTAATGTTAAATTCATAGATTTGTAGAGAGCTCTTGGAAAAGAAATTGGCTTTTACACTGGTCGGGTTCTGCTTACCTGCGTATTCGTTCCATTGAAGACACTCACCATCCAACTTGTGAAAGTCGGTAGCAGTTTCATTTCTTCGATGTCCTTGTTGGCGTTATTCCTTTTCTCGAGGAATTTGCAAGAGGTTAGCCATCGGGGTCAATTAGCATAACTGATGCCACCTACCAACACCGAAATTTGCTTTGCTGCAACAGAAATGGCTCCCATCGTGACGTTCGGAGAACTTCTGGTCGATTTTGTGCCCACAGTAGCGGGCCTCTCTCTCTCCGACGCCCCGGCTTTCAAGAAGGCACCCGGCGGCGCGCCCGCCAATGTGGCCGTGGGGGTATGCAGACTGGGTGGGATTGCGGCCTTCATTGGCAAGGTCGGCAAGGACGAGTTTGGTCAAATGCTGGTGGATGTGTTGAAGGAAGAGGGGGTCAATGTCAGGGGGGTGCGGTTCGATCCAAACGCGCGCACTGCTCTCGCCTTCGTCACTCTCCGCACAGATGGCGAGAGAGAGTTCATGTTTTACCGGAACCCATCCGCCGACATGTTGATGGTTCAAGCGGAGCTCGACATGGATTTGATCCGCGGAGCCAGGATATTTCATTTCGGCTCGATTTCTCTCATCTCCGAACCGAGCAGATCCACGCACCTCGCAGCACTGAAACTGGCCAAAGAAAGCGGGGCGTTGCTATCTTACGACCCCAACTTGCGACTACCTCTGTGGCCCTCTCCGGAAGCTGCTCGCGATAGAATCATGAGCATCTGGCGTGAGGCGGACATCATCAAAGTCTCAGACGAAGAGGTAAAGTTCCTCACCAACGGAGGGGACGAGAAGCTAGACGAGGTCATCATGAGCTTGTACCACCAAGCTCCCAACCTCAAGCTCTTCCTCGTCACCGACGGCCCTGATGGGTGCCGCTACTACACTCCCGATTTCAAAGGCCAAGTCGAGTCGTACCCGGTACAGATGATGCTCCGTCCTTCCATCGCCTCACGAACCTTCTCAATTTGTGGTTTCATGTTGAATTCTCGTAATGTACCGACCTGAGTCAGTCGTGGGTTGGCCGTGAACAGGTCGAGACTGTCGACACCACGGGTGCTGGCGACGCCTTCGTTGCGGGCCTGCTGAACAAGCTCGTGCAGGACAAATCCTTGTTGACGGACGAGGCAGCGCTGCGATCGGCGCTGCAATTTGCGTGTGCGTGCGGGGCGATCACCACCACGGGTCGCGGAGCGATTCCTTCCTTGCCCGTCGTCGACGATGTTCTGAAGCTCATTAACAACGTCGCCGTTTGAGTGACGGACGCCGCGGCGAAGGCGACGCATCGGCAAATTAGTGTGGTCCAGTTAATAGTAAGGACGAAACTAATAATATACCCCAACAAATAACTGCTCCACTAGCTGTCTTGTGATAACGACGAGATAATGTATAACTTAGGTTACGGAATTAGTAGACAATTCAAATATTATATGGGGAAGGGGACAACTTCATTATCCGCGACTTTGAAGTATATGACGAAGTAATATTTCATTTTCTTTATTTAAATTTCACATATATAAATATATGTTCAAGTTTTGTTAACTTTTAGGTAGTTATTTGTCAAAAATAAATTGGTTTCATTGTGTCTGATGTTAATGGTTGCTGTGGTTGGAAGTCGGTGCTTTGATTATGTAACTTTGATTATGAAGGAAATCTCTTTATATGGTTTTGCAAGTACTAATATATTTGGTTTCAATTAATGTTTTGTTAGAGAATATATATATATATATATATATATATATATATATATATATACACGTACTTATAATAAATTATTACAATAATTTCATTTTTTGGTACATAGTTATTGAAACTTTTTAAAAGTTGAAAGAAAATTTTAATGTGAAAAATGGTTGAAGGTCTTTTAACTTTTATCGAATAAATGATTGCAAACTATTTTTAAAAAATATCTAAAATCAATCCAAACTATTTTAATTCCAAAATTTCCAAAGAAGAAGAAATTATGTAACAAATGTTATATTAGTAATATACAAGTCAAGGTTTAGTTATATGCATTCTTTGGTTAAGAAGCCGTTTAGTTTTGACAATTGATTTTTCATGAATTTTTCAAATAAGATGCTTGTAATATTATATTTCTAAACCATTCTTTATTTTATTTTATTTTTCTTCCAAATTCTTTAATATTCTGTGAATGATGTTCTTCTTTTTAATACTTTCAACAAAAAAGGAAAAAAATTCATACTGATTACCTTAAATTCTGTAAATTCCAATTCAAATTTTTTATGGTATTGTATCATTCACATGCATATGTATATACCAGAAAGCTTAAAGTTTTAAATATAATTATAATTATAATTATAGCATCTTTTGTTTATGTAAAAATAGTTAACAACAACAACAACAGTAATAATAATAATAAATACCATATGATATTTAGGCTATTATCATATCAGACTTCCTTTATTCTAAAGAAGTTTAACATACTTGTGCATATATTTACCCATACAAACAGAAGGTCATTAAAGTGAATTTTATTTGTTTGTTTGGTTCTTATACATTTTGTGAGCCTAAAAAGATTCATGAGAGCACAAAAGTATACAAGAGCAAAAGTATAGACAAAACCGTGATTTTTACCGCACAGAGATCGACAATTATAAGCTGTGAGAACTGGAACAGAAGAGAACCGCCATTGCAAGCATCGTTCTCCACGTAGTAATGATTTTCCAGTCTACGAGACAGTTCAACAAGACCTGAGCCTCGATCAGGTGGACTGCCGTGCGTTTCAGCAGCATTGATGCTTGATTAAGTGCTTCCTGTAGGGTTCCAAACGAAACCCTGAATTACATACTCTTGCGCAGTGACTCTGCAGATTCCATTCTCTCTCTCTCGAAGACATGATTTCCAATGACAGCGAAACTAATACAACCATGTAATTCAGTGTGCACAGACAATCTAATAAGTGAGCGACTGAGGGATTGATCTGGTGGGTTACTCCTCTCTGCTCCAGCATTGAGACTGAAATCACTGCTCCTGTATTAGCAAGATTGGCTTCCCGTTTGTCGGTGTCGTCAGAAAATGAACTCTCGTACAAATATTGCGTAACCCTAATAGAATATCTCGGTACCATTAGCAAAAACGAGTCCACAAGTCGCTGACAATTGGATTGATATGGTAAAAATATACACACATCACAAGAAGACAAAGAAGTTCAAATGAGGGAAGCGGTTAACAAACAATCCGTGATTGATCATGGATGAAATTCCAATTCTACAACAACGCAGTCGGAGACTGGCGATGTGGATTGGCTTCTTGCATAATGATACACTCAATTTCTGTCTCAATGCCTTTGAATAGGCACGGTTCACCTAAAACTCTTGAATGAAATAGTCTCCAACCTAAATTTCAATGTTCGTGAGGACTATAAATCGTATTGTATTGAAAGAGTATCAACTACCAAGAACTGGATTGAAGCATCAGAAAAGAAAAACAGAGCGAATAATGTTCAACCCCCAATGAATAATCCGCATCATGAAGCCGTCGAAGTCGGTTTCTTGGAAACCAGCGACGTCAAATACCTTTTCCATGGAGCGTCGTCCTGGTGTTTCACCCACGACAGAAAGGCGCTATCCAACAAGCAAAACACATTCACATATAGAAGCTGGTGCCTCACAGGAATCAATCGGAAATTCGCCACTTGCACGACTCCCCACCCTAATCCCTCCGTCATGTACGTGGGAATGAAGTCCCGCTCCACGTCGCGCTTCACCGTCGCCCATGGCACCCCCGACATCAAGCCCATGTACGAGAAGAAAGCTAGCAAGTGGATGGGTCCAAATACAAGAACATCACATGCCACTTTCGTGGCGATGAAGCTTACCGAGTTTACCCTAAGCTTTAATCCTTTCATAACAAATGTCTCTAACCCCTCATACCACAGGTGTCCAATGGGTCCGACAAATCCAACCCCGAAGGAGCTAGCAAGAGCAACCCTCTTCCAATCTGTGCTCTCCACCACCTTCTTCTCGCTGTCCACAGCAACCAGACCTTTCTTCACCACTTGTCGCCGCCCAATATCCCGACTAATCGATTGCGCACAATAATCCCCGGCTGCCCAAAGAACTCCCGACGTGATCATCTGAGTGCGAACAGGCGACTGCGCCAGCTTCGCCTGGTACCACCCCCAGGCTTGTCCTAATTTAACCAAAGCGCCCGCCATCGCAAAATGAACTCGCAAACAACCTGGAGCGAATGCCAAACCCTAACAAACTCATGTGAAGGAGACGATCAGGAAGGCGAATTGCTAAAAGTTCTCTGAAGGCCTGAGCCTCGGCGGAGGTATTTCCTGAAGCTTCAAGCCTCAGCCTCTGGTTCGATGGTTCACATGAAAGCGACACAAACAAACATAGGTCCTGAGGGCACCATGTGCAAACCGGTGCAGAGCCTGCAGAAGCGGGATGAATGCCAAAGCGGTGGATGAAGGCGTTCGCCTTAATCAGAGGTCGCCAAATGTGAAGCTTCTGCAGCTCCCCAACTCCAGTGCACATGAGCTTCCTTCCAGACTCACACGATCTCTACTTATTTAGAAACTCATTTCAGACTATTAAATACAGAGAATTGACTGTATCCCGCTTGATTCAAAGCCGTTGTGTGGCGCACATTTACTATTTTGACGAATATGTGCCACGCACGATGAGCACCAAGTGAGAAGCTCAGGGACGACATAGGGATGCCTTTCTTCAGAGCTTATAACTCAGATTTAGAAACTTGAGTCCTCAAATTTCAGGGGGTTGCGAGAAAGAGAGAGGGAGGTGTGCGGTGTAATTTGTGGGGTTGGAGCAGGAGCATCAGTAACGGAAGTGCGATGCGAGTTGGGGAATCAACATAAAGCGATTACGAGGAGCTGGAAAATAGCAAGAATATATGGAATCTTTCGATCTTGTCGTTTTGAAGACCAGAACTTCGATGCCGTGGCAGAGTATTGACCTTCATATCGGCGTGGTCTCTCGCTTCTCCGGGTGAATTAGCAGAAGCAGTCTGACGTGTTGCGGCGTAGCATTGTCAAGATGTGCAATCTCACACAGCTCAAGAGTATCGTCCACCGCTGCGATCACCTCATCCACGGAACAAACACCGTCTCGACGCTTCCGACGTGCCCCAATCGACGAAACATGTGGCTGCCGTGAATGTCGACGTTGACAACGAGGCCACCTTCCTCGAAACCGGTTAAACCCTAAATTTCCAGGTTTTTAAATCCTAATTCTAGTTTTCCACTGTTAATTGAATTAATCAAGAAACCATTCATTGCAAGATGTTGGGCTCCAATCCACCTTGTTGAATGTATGCCATTGAACATTCTTTGGACCTTATCTACATTTACTATGGAATTGAATAACATTCTTCTTACCATTTCTTAAGTCATTTATATTTCACTGATCTCTATCTGCACATGCTTATAGGGCCACCAATATTCTAACTTGTCAATTGGATTTGAGTTGTGAAGGCCATTTTTGTATTGACATTAATTATTGAAGATAGTGTTGTATTTGTGTATGAATGGTGGTGGTGGTGGTGGTGGTCTTATGTTTATGAGTAGAGCAATCAATCCTAGTACAACATTAGATCTAAAATTCTTATTTTCACATGTGAACTATTTAAAACAAACAAAAGAAATGTACAAATTTTAATGAAGACATGAACAAGTTACATAGAATACAATTGTAATAAAGATAAAGACCAATAAAAGAATGTAATAAATAGTTATGATAATTTTTAATATATATAATAATAATAATAATAATAATTATAAGATTCTTTTATAATAGCAATAATATATATATTTTTTCTTAATCTTGCTAAAATCAAAGTTTTGAGCAATCTAAGCATTGTCTTGTTTAAATCCTCTATCTAAACTTATTTTTAATCCAAGGCCTTGATATTAACTTGCTTTTATTATCTTATTTTTGTAGATTTTATAATTTGAATAGAAATAATTATTAAAAAATCTTAAGTTCAAAAAATCATAATATCTTTCATAAATTTGATAGAATAAGAATAAAACAATAAAGATTATTTAAGAAGTACAATTATTTTTATCCTTCCATTTTTTTTTTCACTTCTTGAGAAAATAAACACAAAATTATCTTTAAAATAAACATAGAAAAATTATATTTATCAAAATTTAAAAATCCATACAAATAAGATTGCAATTTTATCAAATTATAGATAAAAGCCATTGAAATCCTAAAAGGTTGATTAAAACAAATACTATAAGCATCTATCAAATAAGATGCATACATTACTATAAGACATGTTGATTTCTATTCTAATCATTCTAGAGATGCTAGAATAATGTCTCTTCTCTTTTCCAAAACTTCCATAATGGTAGTTTAATAATATGATATGCAAACCTATTTCAATACAAATGTAGATTAAGGCAAAATATAAGACATTTTTAAAACATGGATATCTCAATTAATTAATCCAAATGGGATTTTTAGTTGTTTGATTGATTAATTAATTAATTAATTAATTAATTATAATTCTTTAGAATATGCTTAATTTTTATTATTTATAAATATAATTTATAAAATTATTCAATAAAATTTGATATATATATATATATAAAAATTATCTTCTAATAATATCATATGTCTATAATTTAAATACATTATTCTTAAATCACTACATACATTGATCAATTATTCTGAAGACAAAAAGAGTGTAAATCCTACAAATAGATCTTAATTAGATTAATTGTTAATAGTATAGTTTATTTGAATTATTTAAATATAAAATATTAAGACTAAAGAGTGTGTTTGATTATTTAAGTATTTATTAGAGTTTAGAAGTCTATATAGATTACAAGAGTCTTATGAAAAAAAAAAAAAGTCAAAAAAATGAAGTCTTAGTATGTCTTTGAGGCAAATATTTTCATTGATTTAGTATTTTTTTATAGTGAGTATTAATATTCAGGTATTGAATGTAATATCTATATTTACCTTATATCTATATGTAATATTTATTAAAATCCTATAAAATTTTAATTAGTAGATAGAAAAAGTATAAGAAAAAATCTTATATATTTTTTATTATTAATATTAATAATAAGATTTTCAATTGAATTATTTTAATTTTATTACCATGAACATTCACCTAGATATGAAAAAATAGCTTTAAATTAATAATGGTATTCCAAAAATATTAGGTTTTTTTTAGAATTTTTTTAGAATATACTTTTTTAAAAAAATTAACGGATTTTTAGAGCAATTTTAAAGCTTTGAGTAAAAAAGAAAATTTACCACCTTCGAAGATCATTATGAAGAAATTGAGCAAAATTTGAAGGCTCACCTATGTTCATAACTAATTGGATATTTTGAAAACTACGATAAAGTCAAAAATATGAAACAATAGTTTTTAAATATAAAATAAGAGAATTTGTCAATGACAAGAACTTGAAGAATACAAATAAACAAATGAAATGTTCTTTAAAGAAAAATGATCAAAAAGAAATTAGTAAATATGTTTATTCAAGAAAAAAAAAAATGACTATTGTCAAATATAAGAAAACTAAAGACTTAAAACTAAATTAAAAGCAAGAAAGAAGCTGACAAGAATAAGGGAGGTCTCACATTTGTTTCTATATATACTATCTAACTAGGAACTATATGCTGACATTCTTTTTGACCTCTAATGTGTACATAACTTGTAAAACAAGTTTCTTACATGTGTACCATGTAGCCAACTTTTATCACAAGTGTCCAACATGTACAACATATGGCTAATTTGTTGGCTAAGATTTCAACATACAAATCACTTATAAAGACGTACAAAAGCAAAGCCACATCTCTGAAGCTTCTAAGAAACTTTTCTATAAGTAATTAGTATATTACATGTATAAAAAAGTGCAAAAGTTCCATATAGATTGTAGTACCTTGGATGTAAGTAAGAAGATAAGACTAAGGCCTTATGGCCTCTTTGAAACAGTTATATATACTACTTGTGACTCTGAATGAGATTTAAATCTTTGCTTTTGTAACCAAATTATTTTTGAGATAAAATATATTCATATAATTTTTTTGTTAATTAAATAAGCTCTTTCTCTCTTTCTTTCTATTTTTCTTTATATATATATATTTGTAGAATTGATACAATGACCAAAGTTTTCACAAAATTATTTGAATTTTGGTTACTTGACTTAAGTTTAGATATAAAGTTCTTTAATACATACAATAATGTTATAAATACCTTTATCAGTAATAATAAATAAACTTAAAAAAATAATATAATTGTGACTATGGTTACCAACGTTTCAAATTGCTATGATTAAAAATTATATTTTGATCATAGAACAAGATAATTGCAATAATCATGGTTGGTTCTACAATACTACTTACAATACATGGATTAGATATTCTAAAGAATGTATATAGGCAAGGCATACTTATTGATAATGCAATTGCATATGAGTAAGAAATTATTATTGTTGGTATATTTTTTGCATGCTTGAATTATTTTGTAGCTGCTTTCAAAGCATGATGTAATATTTAATATACTACTTTATAATACATAGAATTGGAATGCATGGCCAAATAGCATATGGTGATAAAAACAAGCTTATGTCAAACTTTGGACAATTGAGCATTAATGGCCAAACTAATCTTCTTAAATATATCTTTGTAATTGCACACAAATATAATGATTTGGTTTTTCATTGTATTATATAAATTTGCAATCTAAAATGTGATATGATAGCTATAATGGCAAATTTTATTAACTCAAAGTTTTAAAAACTTTGTCCAATATGGAAAAACTGAACAATATCAATGTATTTCATTACAACACTATTAAAAGTGTATTTGATGCCATTTACAACTTATTTGTACTCTATTATTGGTTGCTATGATGACTATGTTCCATGTATTTATAAGGCATTGAAATTAATAACATCTTAGATAATAGGCTTGATATTTGAGAATACATTCTTTTCAATGTAGTACAAGCAAAACAAGTGATGCGTGTAAGTATTTAAAAAGATAATGTCAATTATATGCATTAGTAATAACTTGTAGTTGGTGACAAAAATAAATAAGAGTGCTGATACAAAGACAATTTGTATCTATCGTAGAGCCCTACATGGTTGTTTTCTTTTTCTACTTGCAAGATTTAAAAACTTAATAAAAAAAAGTGATCTTTGCTTGTGCTAGTAGCAATATGAAGTAATGCATTTAAAAATAATTTGTCTTGTATGTTGTATTTAATAGGAAAACATCAAGTGCATATCTATATTAATATGCAAGTTAAATTTCCTTAGAAGGCACAAAAAATAAGTAAGAAAGCTTACCATTGTTGTACAATTTTTTTTTATAAAAGACATTGTTGCTCTCTAATTTATACGATAGTATTTCTAAAAGAATTTTTCCATCAAGTTCTTCTCTTCATAGGATATTTTGAAGGTTGTATATATCTCTTTGCATGCATCTATTATTTTCAAGGACAAGAATTTGATGAAAGAAAATAAACAAGTGAGACTTTCTCAAAGAAATATGACAAAATAAAAATAGAGAAGTATGTATATGTCATAGACAAACTCATGTAAGCCAATAATTACATATATAAATAAATAGAAGTAATTAAAAGTAGATAAAAGTAAATTAATTCTATAATATTTGATATAAAAGCTTCCTAGAAGCTTCATAGATGTTGCTTTGACTTTATAGGTGTCTTTAATTGACGTTTTGGATTAGAAACGTGGTCAACAAGTTAGCCATGTACCACACATGTTGTTAGTTTGAAGACCAAGCTAACAATGTAGCCTACACATAGAAAAACGTGCCTTGTAAGTTAAGGCAT